AGTAGTAGCTAGAGGCTAGAAGCTACAAGTAGCTAAGCGCATTACGCACATGACTAGTAGTAGCTAGAGGCTAGAAGCTACAAGTAGCTAAGCGCACACGTGCATGACTAGTAGTAGCTAGAGGCTAGAAGCTAGTAGTAGCTAAGCGCATGACGTGCATGACTAGTAGTAGCTAGAGGCTAGAAGCTAGTAGTAGCTAAGCGCATTACGTGCATGACCAGTAGAAGCTAGAGGCTAGAAGCTACAAGTAGCTAAGGGCGTTACTACTAGGAACAAAGGGTCTTTGGATCTCCAAGCTGGGTCGCAATCATCGGTCAGGAAGAAGAACCTGCGGATTTCGGAGACACTGAGATAGCGGAACTCGCTCACAATGAGGAGGACAATCATGCGAAAGTTGCTGCTTCACTGGGCTTGGCTTCAGCTCAGTCTTTTCATCGAAAGAATGAAGGTGTCCCGGAAGGCTTTTCGGAAGATTCAGAGATCGAAGGTGTCCCGGAGCCGTTGCGAGAGATGAATGCAGATCTGCTGGCCATGGGCAAATCAGTGTGCCTGGCGAATCTGTGCAATATGCGATTGGTGAATCTGCAGGAATGGCCTAGCTTCTTCGAAGACATGCCTCTCAGTTTAATTCATTTGACGCCACCAGCTTTCGACCAAGGTTGGAGGCCATCCCTAGTAGGTTGGAGGCCGGCCCTTCGCTAGTAGGTTGGAGGCCATCGCTTCTACGTATCTGTTCACTTCATATTCAGCTCAGTCTCGAAGACAAGCCCCAACATTTCCACCCCTCACATCAGAAACGCCCTGGCCGTTCCTGGCCCCCTCGATCTCTGATCTTAGGCAAGATGATGTTGAGAAGCAGTGTTCCAAATTTGGTGAGGTGCTCTTTGTGAACGCGGAACGCAAGATGGGTCGCTCCTGGAACGCGAAGTGCTGGGTGCATTTTGCATGCGAGGATCATGCGCTGGCTTGTCAAAATGGCATGCACAATCAGATCTTTGCTGGAAGCCGTGTGCGAGTGACCTTGTGGCCCTGAGCGTCAAAAGCCGTGCGCCGGGTGATTTCTCCGAAATCGGCACGTGGATTTACCGTGTTGGTCGTGAAATGGGGTCGTCCAAGAACACACCGGATGCATCCAGGAGCCCCTAGTAGCGTCCTAGTAGTCCGGACTCCCAAAGCCGGATCCAAGCGCAGTCGCTCTGGGCGTAGGAAGGGGGGTCACTTTGGCAGCGATCGCATTGTGTCGACGTTTTCACTCGTGACCCGACGTGGTGGTGACCCATCCGGGTGACGGAGGGAATATGGAGCATCCCGGATCGATGTGATCAGGTCGATCGGTCGAAGCGATGGATCGGTGCTTCGCTTCGTCTCGCGCGTCGTAGATCGCTCCCCGAGGTTCAGGAACTCATTCAAGAAGCCGAGAGGCGAACGAAGCAGGCAGTCTTGGGGGAGGTGTTGAAAGCCAAAATGAATGAATGAACATGTTATATTCTAGAGAGATGATTCTAGATGCTGAACATGGAAGGGTGGGATGTTGGACAATGTTGGACATCATGAATCATATGGCAAAGCAGTCTCACTTTGAACTGGCTGAGATGTTCAACCAGTGACCACCAATGTGTTCGTCTGGAGCATTTCAACCTGCAGCGTTTCGCACGTTGCGGTGGGTCATTTTGATCCGTCAATCGTAGAATTCACCTCGGCCAATCCTGACCATTTGTCGGCCAATTGTGAAAGCAATCTTTAGGGCTTGGGACTTGATCCGGCCAGATGGCACAGGGATTGAAACTTTCTGAGGCCACTCAGCTCATCTCATATGTGCTCACGGCCGCCTTGGTTTTGGCTGCGGCGGTGCTCATCATGCTGGCGCCCAGCATTTCGTGAGTGGGTCGGGCAGCGTGCTGCTTGGAGAGAGGCCTTTGATTTGAATTGTAGCCTTGTTGAAGCCATTTGAAGTTCACCGTTTGCAGAGGTTTGAAGCGATTTATTCAAGACTCCCACAAGAAGAGGTGCCCTCCGCACCTCTGCCTCTGCTTGTACATGTGCTTGTGTGGGGCGGCAACTGAGGGCAAGCAGATGGGCTGTCTGCTTAAAGCAGTGCAGGAAAATCTGTTATTCCTGATCAGTGTTGCCAGAAGCGGAAAAGCAGCGCCAAGCGGAGTTTTTTGGACACCTTTTTTTGAATGACCAGTGCCTCTGAGGGTCCTAAGCCTTCCCGAGCCATAGCTGACATATCCGTCACAGGCTGTGTTGTTTGAAACACCGCTCTTTGGGTACATGGCTGCCATCTAAAACTTCTCAAAGCCACTGTATTCTGTGAACTGCCTCCGCATTTCCTTCATTTGCCAGAGCCGCTTTGTGGTCCGGAGCTGCTTTGCTGGTGACCGGGAGGACAGGGGCAGTGCAATGCTTGGTTGATATCCGTTTCCAGGTTCAGCCGGTCGCATAATTAGGAGCTATTTCAAGGTACTTCAAACCGTATGGACGTGGGCTTTTGATTGGAAAGGAATTTGAACCTTGTCCAATGGGCCTTGGAGTGCTTTCACAACCTACTAGCGATGGCCTCCAACCTAGTAGCAATGGGCTCCACCCCAGTAGCGATGGCCTCCACCCTAGTTTCGATGGCCTCCAACCTACTAGCAATGGGCTCCACCTAATAGCGATGGTCTCCACCCCAGTAGCGATGGAGTCCAACGTAATAGTGATGGGCTCCACCACACTACCGATGGAGTCCAACCTAATAGCGATGGCCTCCAACCTTGTCATGTTCCTTGATCCTCCAAATTTTTGTGCCTGAAATCGTCCGACCGAGAGCAGGAGATGGTGGTGAGCGGTTCGGAAGATGCGCAGGTGCCAGCTGTACAAGTTGTTTCCTTTTTCCAATACAGCGAAGTCCAAGGTGTTTAAGGAGTTGTGCCATCGTGGGATATAGTGTGAGGTTCTTTTGGTTTGCCTTGTTTTACCTTGTTGAGTAGCTTCTTGCTCGTAGTAGCGATGCCCTTTGTTACTACTAGCTTCTTGTTGCTACTAGTAATGCCAGGAGCTACTAGTAGTTTCTTGCTCCTAACAAAAAAAAGGGTCCTTTTCAGGTCTACATTTGGCATCGGCATTATGGCTCCCTCCTTCAGGCAGCTTTGGCAGACTTCGGCTTCGAGTTGTCAAAGGATAACATGCCCAAGTTCGCGAAGTTGTTACCAGTAGCATCCGTGTCACTAGTAATAATGGCCTCCAACTTATTAGCGATGGCCTCCAACCTAGGAGTGACCTCACATGTCTTGACACATCACCTCATTGCCATTTTCCATCCAACCGTGGATGGCATGCGATAGCTGGTCGTCGCCGGTCCAACCACTGCACCTGACAGGTGCTAGCTGGACACTCGGCCACAGTGAATACAGTCTGCCGGGCGCCCCTGCTAGCTTTAGCTTGACAGGAAGAGAGGAGCAGAAATAGAACATGCAAAACCAAGAATGGGTCCAGAATCAAACTGTTGCCAACCTGTCAGCATGTTCTGGACCCGTGGCAATATTGAGGTTGGGTGCGTGCGGAGAAGGCAGCAGCACCTGCAAAATTATTGACATTGCTTAGCACAATGAACATGATAATGGATATGGACTATATTTTGGTATGCAAACTATGCTTTCCACCAAAATAGGCCTAGTTTGCATCATGAGCAGCTAGCGTCTCAAAGACGCAAAGTATATCAAATGTGGCTCAGGAACACGCAACTTTGAAGCTTTGTCAACCCTCGCAGTTTAACTCAACTCTTTTCATTCCTTTCCAAGGCAATCCCACCTGACTGAATCAATCCGTTGACTCAGATTTCCGAACCAGAATCAATCCGTTGTTTTTCCAAGGCATTTCCTGAACCAATTGTTTCATGCCTTTGTTGTAGGACAATGCCTGGCTCATTTCAGCCTCAGATGATGGCACCTTGCGTGTCGTGAGCCCAGAGTGGTCATCACTCACGACATAGCACGACTCAATTTGAGCGGTCCTTCCATATCGCAAGTAGGTTGGAGGCCATTGCTAGTAGTAGCGTCCGAACGCTCCGTTCGTAGTGATGCCCTTTGCTCCGTTCGTAGCGTCCTCTTGCTCTTGTTACTAGTAGTCAGTCCAGGAGCCACTAGTAGCGTCCTTGCTCCTAGTAGCGATGCCAGGAGCCCATAGTAGGGTACTTGCTGGTAGTTTCTTTTGTCTCCACTCCACCGGGCTCTGTGAGGTTTGGGGTTGCGAGGAAGAGTTTCGGTGAAGATCTCAGACTGCACATCTGAGATCGGTCTGACTTCCAAGCACTGACCACTCCTAACCTGTGCGTTTTGCATCTTTTTTGCAGGTCTGGAATGGAACAAGTTGTTTGCCAAGTCTTTTGTTTCTTTTCCTCTTTTTGTTGATCGCATGTCCCCAACATGCTTGCCGAACATGCGGACCTTGCTCGCTCGCAGGGAGGCTCCAGAGACAGAGGTGCGTCAAACGTCTTGGACGTCCGGAGCATCGATTCGACGGAGGAGAAACATCTTTGGAAGCTGTAACAAGTGTATCGCTACTAGGAACAAGTGCCTTACTAGTAGAAACAGGTGCCTTACTAGTAGTAACAAGGACGCTACTAGGAACAAGTGCCTTACTAGTAGTGACAGGTGCCTTACTACTAGGAGCAAGAAGCTACTAGGAACAAGTGCCTTACTAGTAGTAACAGGTGCCTTACTACTAGGAGCAAGAAGCTACTAGGAACAAGTGCCTTACTAGTAGTAACAATGTTTGCTATTAGCAACAATGTTCGCTACGTACTACTAGGAGCAAGGACGCTACAAACGGGGCTCCTTGTTTGCTTTAAGATGCTCCCAAGACTCCACCCGGTTCCCTGACCAAACGAGGGTTTCGGGCTAGCGCACCTCTGTTCTTCGGACAACGTGCCAGAAGGCCGTCCTTTGCTTCTGGTTTCTACTAGCTGTTACTACTAGTAAGGCACTTGTTACTAGTAGCGATGCACTTGTTCCTACTAGCTTCTTGTTACTACTAGTAAGGCATTTGTTACTAGTAGCGATGCACTTGTTCCTACTAGCTTCTTGTTACTACTAGTAAGGCACTTGTTACTAGAAGCGATGCACTTGTTCCTTGGTCAGTTTGTGTTTGCGCTTTTGTGCCTCAGGCGGCCTTGGTGAGTCCTCCAATCCGCGACAGGCGATGAGACAGATACTTGTGATGTGCTTCACCGCCTCCTCTGGAGAGACTAGGAACCAAGGTGAAGGAGAGAAGGATTCTTCAAGTGCAGAAAAATCAGCAAGACTGGGAGGCCACCTGCCATCATGCATCGCGCGTGGGGGTGCCTGAGTAAATATCAATATGTGCGTGCTTTGAATGCTGATGGCGGGTAAATGGGAGTATGCTTCCAAGACCCTTTTTCTTAAAGCCTGTCTGCGTTGTTTGCTTTCTGTCCGCAGTCATTCTCCAACCTAAGAGCTATCGCTACTGGGGTGGAGGCAATCGCTCTTAGGTTGGAGGCGATTGCTAGTAGGTTGGAGGCCATCGCTAGTAGGTTGTAGGCCATTGCTTCTAGGCCATTTCTAGTAGATTGAAGGCCATCACTGCTAGGTTGATGTGTATTTGTTATGTGTACATATGATTACTACATCTGTATATTGTATTTTGGTTGTCACCAGGAGCAAGAAGCTACTAGGGGCTCCTGGCATTACTACTAGCAAGGACGCTATTAGGGGCTCCTGGCATCGCTACTAGGAGCAAGGACGCTACTATCCGGCTCTCTTTAGATCTTTCAGCAGTCATTTTCTTCAGGCCGCCTCGCCTGCCGCCTCGCTCGCCCCGCGAGACCTTGAGGGCGGAAAGCCCGGGGGTCGGTCGGGAAAGCCAAGCTGAGACGAGACGGAAAAAAAGGACATGGATTGCATTATTTTGGTGGAGACTTTATGACTTTTATGATTTATTCAAAGAAACGCACACATATGATCTTGGTATTAATTTTTGGACCATTTTCTCCAACGCAATTTTGGTAGTTCAGACAAGCAAGGAAGAGACGATGGGAAGAAAGGAAGAGGTCTGACGATGACATTAGAAAGGAAGACAAATACAATACAATTGAAACACACACACACAGTTTTGACATGGTTCCGAAGCATATTGACTTGAGCGTCAATGATTTGCGTGAGTCTCAATCCATGAGAGTGGTAATTGTTTTGATCCCAGACATAAACCTGCGCCTGCGGAGCAGCATAAGAGCATCCGACAAAACTTCCATACATGTACTTTACAGTCATGAGCCGCCTTTAAGTATATATCTGAATTGATCACAACCTTGCAAAACCGATAGGGGCCACCCCCATACCGAGACCCTTCCTTGCTTGCAAGTAGCTTATTGCCTGCATTCCAAAACACTGGAAACCGATAAGGACCAACGAGGCCAGCCCAACATACTTTTGGCATTGGGGACGCGAAGAAGTTTTGTCCCTCACTCCAACCTAAGAGCGATGGCCTCCAACCTACTAGCGATGGCCTGCAACAGACAGCGTGCCATCTCTTGCTCAGGCAGTCAGAGTGCCCGAAGCGGTCGCAGTGCCAGAGCCACTTTGCTCACAGAGGAGCCGCGGAGCCCGTTGACTTTGAAACAGCAGGGTGAAAATTGGGAAGGTTTTTCAGAAGGTACAAGAACTGCCAATGCAAGCCATCCAACTCAATGCATTCAAAGCTGTTCAAATCATTCAACGCTGAACGCTGAGCAGCCTGTGAGGACAGTGATGATGATGGGCTGGAGAGGCTCAAAGTTATGGCAAAGCATGCAAAAGATCGCAAAAGGAAGCGATGGCCTCCAACCTACTCCCGATGGCCTCCACCCTGCTAGCGATGGCCTCCACCCTACTCCCGATGGCCTCTACCCTACTAGCGATGGCCTCCACCCTACTATACTATAGCGATGGCCTCCAACCGGCAAAAGCATGCAAGAGCATTGATGTCGGGCTGTTCCGGTAGATTTGACTCCGATGCCGATCCGATGCCTGGCTGCTATGCAAACAGAAGGAACACTTTCAAGTGGTTGACACAAACAGAAAGACTCCGCTGCGGAGGTGATAGCTGGTGCCAGCTGAGGTTCAAGGTGGGCAGCTGAGGTTCGCAATCGCTGCTCGTGGACACTCAGAACTCGACCGCTTTCGTAATCCTCAAACACGAAAAAGCCTCTGAACACTGCGGGCTGTTGCTGTGTGGTTTTGAGTTTAAAGGGGTCACGGTTTTCAAGAACTCAAGTTTCAATTAGTGTGTCAACTGTGTGGCGATTTGTGCCACAGGTGATTCGCAGCAATGACTGCCACCCCAAACTGAAGCTGCATGAGGCGAAGTGGAACTTGGAGGATGCATAAGGGGAAGCGATGGCCTCCAACCTACTATATTGTTACCATGTTGAGAATGAATATCGACAGAGATGCCTTTTTCATTTTCCAGCGGGATCGCGCATTTGGACCGGGTCGAACTTTGAACTTGTGAAATTCAAAGACGGCTGCACCAGTCAGCAGTTCCCGGAGTAGTCGGTGGAAATCCTCAAAGACCTTGGGTTGCCTTCGTGCAGTTTGGATTTCTGAAGCCCATGCTAGAGCTCCCACCTCTTAGAGATCGAGCCAGCGAGAGAGAGAGAGAGAGACACCATGGAAGAGATGAGAGACCATGCTGCCATGCTTTCTAAATTCCAATTTACCATATCTCAAAACCTTTTCTCTTGCGCAACTCTATGCATATTCACACGTTCAATTTTGTCGCGTGATAGCTGGTTGTTTTTCTGAGAATCCATACATTTTTCGTAGTCGAGACCAGGGGCTGGCAACGGGCAGGATCCAATCACCGGCAATGGGGTTTTTGGTGTTTCCTGGAGCTGGCCATCAACACATTGAACAAAGCTTATCAAAGCATCGAATTCTTGGATCAAGCCAAGCGATCAGTTGATGTAGCCAGCTGTGAGCAAGCTGTGAGCAAGCTTCAAGGAGGTGATGCCAATGGATCCTCTCAAAGAAAGCCCTTATCTTTCCTTCCACGGAGATCCGTTTGTTTTGGCGAGTTAGTTTTTCATGACCTCCCCTGTACATAGTCGCAATCACAAAGCGTTCGCTGAGTTTCAAAGCTGTCCTGGAGTGAGCAATCTCGATTGGAAAATTACTAAGCGCATCTTTGACGATCCATTATTACTCAAGATGTCTCCTCCTCATGGTTTGAAGGGAGAAGGCCATCGCTACTAGGGAGGCCATTGCTGTTGGGTTTTGAAGGGCTTGCTTCCCACAAAGAAAGATGACCAGATTTGCAGGGCTCCCAGTAGCTCAAAGGATGCGGAATCCTCACAAGGGTTATCAGATTTGGCTGGGCGAGCTTCAAGTGGAGCGACTCCATTACTTTGCTCTTTCAAGGTGGCATGTGATGTGCACCAGGTGTTCCAGCTCAAGCCTATCGGCGCCTTGAAGATTATTGAATGACACACCAATCACCAGAAGATACTGAAGCGAAAGCATGCTCAAACAACATCGTTACACTTACACAAATCGCTTTCTAAAACCCTCAGCCCTGTGAGTTTTGCAACCAGAGTCCACGTCGATTTCCCCGATCAAATCATCGACCATTGAGCCTTGCAGCGGACCCGCATGCTGACACCACTTGAGCATGCTGAATGCCAATCGTCCTGGGAGGTTTCAAAGCATTCCCAGGAGCTCCGAGCATCGGATACGATCGAAACTCGTCAGGTGCTGGGGAGACAGATGAGAAAGGTGCAAAAAACACCCAAGAAAACCAACACATCCGAACAGTCTGTTCTGGTTTCAAGTCTTTCAGTGTGCCGAGATGAGGAGGGATGGTTACTACTTCCCTGCTAAGTGACCCATCATGAAGGGGTGAGGAGTTCTCCTCTTTCGTTCCGCGTACTTTTGGCCAACCAGGTTGCTCCGCTGAGACAGGCTCGAAGGCTTCCAAACTTGACCCACCACAGGAGCCCCTTTGGTGCGCTTCGGGCAGCTGTGCGACCACCATCGCGTGGAGGCACGGAAGGCTGGAGGATGTGTTTGCTTGAGCTTCAAGATGTTGCAAACTGTTTGGTTTTCGACACGACTGGATCTGGATCATGTTTCCAGAGGCTCTGCTTGCTCCACTCCGCGCAGAGCTGGAGGTGGGATGTGCCATGCTCCATCCGATCCCACACGCCACCGGTTACTACTAGTAAGAATCTACTTCAGTGCAATACCAAACATATATATATATACCAAATATTATATAACCACACTTGTTTCTAATAGCTTCTTGTTACTACTAGTAAGGCACTTGTTACTAGGAGTTTCGCCTGCTCTCGGAGATCAAGAAACGGATCCTGGGAAGACCCAAGGAACACCATTCTTGTGATCCGGACCATATCATCGCTCGGATCGGGTTGGAGGCCATCGGACATGCCATCTCTCTTGTCCAGGCGACGCGAAGGAGACGCGAAGTTACTCGCAGCTCCACCTGCGTCGCCCTCGAAGAGAACTTCCTCAGAAGTTTTCAGGTCCTGGCCCACGTGCGGAAGCCATTGAACGCTTAAGAGCAGAGATCTTTCCCGCAGCTTGGGATGAACTGGGTGTCATGGAGGCGGCCACAGCGCCAGAGGAGGCACGGCAAAGTGTGTTAGTTTGCAACAGCCAACACTGGTTACTTGTGACTCGGGAGCTTCCTTGTAGAGCAGAAAGTGTGTCCTGGCGCCACTAAGTTCAGCTCCTGTGTGCCACTAAGTTCAGCTACGACAAGGAGTCTACTTGAGACTGGCTACTTAGTTAAGCTACCTACTCGCATCCTACCACATCCCCCTTACTACTTAAGTTCACCTTTAGAAAATATATGGAGTCTATCAAAATACAAATATATATATATATATGTATATATAATCTGTATAATGGTATATAATATAGTATTTGTTTCATGGTTTAAAAGAACATATTAAACATCAACGTCTCGTGCTTTTGAGGCGGAACTGGAATTGCTTCGACTTCGGCGGCGCTTGGCCACGACCCGACGGGAATCCACAGCTGTTCGGCAGACGCTGCATGAGGCGCCACGAAAAAGGTGAGTCCTTTTTTGGTTAAACAGTCGATGTTTTGATATGGTTTTGGTTTAAAGAATGCTACAGTATCTATTTCTGCGCACCTTTTCTTCCAATCTATGTATCATATATATTTATCAATATGTTTAGTTCTCTTCTTTTTCGAGCGTTTCCTTTACCTTTTTCTTTGAGGCGCTCCGAAGCAACGTGGAAAGTGCCAAACTGTGGAGCGCGAATCGGGAACGTGTGGGAGACTTGTTGGAGGAGGAGCAAGCGATTGAGGCAGTCTTGGAGGTGCCATGTGCATGTGATTTGATTCGCTCATGAAAACTGTTCTAATCATGGCTTGATTCTCAGGTTGTGTCTAAGTTCTCAAACAAGACAGAGGATAGATTTGACTTTGGACATGCTTGACTTGGCAGATTGCAGGTGCACGAGTCGCGGCTGGTACGGAATCTTCCCAGCGTTGGCTTGGAAGAGGAGGTGGAGGCCCTCCGTGAGGAGGTGGCTGAACAGGCCGAAGATGTGCGAGTTCAGGCGGAAAAGCAAATCCTGAAGAGCCGAAACTTGAAGATCTTCAAAGCTTTGGCCAAGCTTCAGAAAGCTCGGCTGCGTGCCAATGCTGCTGTAGCAGAAGCCAAAGGATGGGTGGGGAGAGACCTTCATGAGTTTGGAAGCTTCTTCATGTGTTTCACAGAGTTTGGAGTTCTTTGGTGGAAAGATCGGGCATTTATCGGCTCGGATCCCCTGCAGGATATGCTAAAGACTTCGAGATGAAGACTTCTCAACTCAAAGAAGCTGAGGAATCCACATGCGCCTTGCGTTTCAAAGCAACGAGCTTGAAAGAGGAGGTGGCACAGGCCAAAGCGGAGGCAGCAGGAAGCAACAAGCTTCCCAACCAGCTACTGCAGGTCCTCCAAAGCGAACTGAAGGCAGAGGAGCGACCCATGGGTGACAGCTTACGGACGTGTGCGGAAGCTGGCAGCATAGGACGATTTGTAGCAGACGTGTGGGACACATCGCCCAACGCAAACCGCCCCAGCTTTTAAGAATCGGCTCAAAGACATAACAAAGAAGACAGGTTGAAATGGCAAAACGAGCGAAACAAAGGACATGTCGCATGTCGGACAGTGCTCAGAATCTGGAGTCAGCCACCATGACTTCGTCGCACTGCTGAGACAAGAGATGAGAAGAGATTTGCATGAGTGCAAATCCAACCTACTAGGGATGGCCTCCAACCCAAAAGAGCGATGGCCTTCAACTAGATGATTAAGAGATGACAAGAGTCCAGCCTTGCATCCAGGCGGCTCACTGAAACACCAACACCCAAATAAACTGAAAGGCAGCTGATGCAATGGCATTAAGTGCTGCCTTCACATCGCGGGAAGCCCAGATTGTTGTCAACCTATTTCTTGGTGTATCCCACCAACCTCTACAACCCCTCAGAGCCTTGATACCTCTTTGAGACATTCTTTTCAATGTGGGAAGTAACAAGGACGCTACTAGGTGGAGGCCATCGCTACTAGTAACAAGGATGCTGCTAGTGATAGTCTCAAGCATGCCAGACTTTCCAGGCTGGGCAGTCTACCAGGCGCGTGGTCTGACAAAGTTCGACGAAAAGGGCCTCAGTCGCTGAACACTGTCGAGCAGTGACTGAGGTCCTTGCCCAACATGGTTTCAACACTTCCATCAGTCGGGAGTTTCAGCTGCCTCGGAAGCCGTTTTCATTGAAAAGACAGGCATCTCGAGAAGTGATCCAACTTACTGTAGATATTCCTCGGTAGGCACATCTTTGCTCAGTGCGTGAGAAGAACAGACTCATATCAAGACACATGTGTCTAGTTTACTAGTACGTATGAAAATTGAAATTTGAAAAAAAAAACAGCCGTGTACATGCACTGTATGAAAACATGCATGAGGATTGTTGCACAACATGTTGATATCAACATGTACCTGTCAAAGTTGTGGGTTTGTCCCATTCAGCAAAAAGGCAAACATCAAAAAGTAGGTGGCAGGCAGGTGAACATTCTGCAAAACGCGCAGAACATATTTTTAGAAATTGATAGTTAAACAAGAGGTGAACATACAAACGTGAAATCATACGTGTATATTTGAAGAATCAACGGACGTCAATTGGTGAGAAGAAGTAAATGCAAATCATCTATTTGCCAACTTCTTGGCCTGTTTTCCACTCTTTTTTCAAGATAGTCAAGAACCATGACACCTGTAAAGATGGTAGATTTTCACCGGTTTGACGATTTCAATTTGTGTGACAAGCGTAGAGCCACATTCTTTTGTGAACATATTAATAGGTGAAACCCAAACAATTTCACCAAATTCTCACCACATTCTAATTAGACTAAGTATTCTTTTGATGAAGGTCCGGATAAAATTGTGCTGTTCCATTTGAAGCATTGCTTGTTTGGTAAGATGATTCATCATTTCACCTCACTTTCGCAACTTATAGTTTGGAATTCCTGAAAACCGCAAGATCGGTGAAACCTACGTGAAATCATCCCTTGTCACCTAAATGTACTTTTGACACTTGGTGAGAATCATCAAATCTGTGAACACGAGGTGGTTAAATCACCAATTGATCATAGCAAAGCATAGTGAAATTGTAAACCAGGTTTGCATAGGTTGACAAATGATGACATCATCCATTTCTCACCACTTTGTTGTGAAAATAGGGCACCTCTACTGTAGGTGAACACATACGTGAACCAATGGCATCTGTACTAAAAGCAAACAGAACCAATGGCCTCCAACCTAGAAGCGATGGCTATCGCTACCATACAGCCCTTTCGGAATTCACGTGTCCTTCGTCAGTGGGGCGCCGAGAGTTTTCCAGGTCCCTCCCGAGCTTTGGCTCCGCGGCCTTTCGCCGTACGTGGTGGACCATTGAGGGCGTTGGGGCATCCCAGACCAACTGCGCGCGACACGCAACTTGATTTGGTTCCTAATACTCGTAGCATCCTTGCTCCGTTCGTAGCGTCCTCTTGTTACTAGTAGAAATGCCAAGAGCTACTAGTAGCGTCCTTGCTCCTAGTAGCGATGCCCTTTGCTCCGTTCGTAGCGTCCTCTTGTTTCTAGTACGGCTAGGAGCCCCGTTCGTAGCGTTTCAGCGATCCGTTTCGGCGTCTTTTTGGCGTTTCAGGTCGGCCAGTGACCGACTCCTTTACGACAGCTTGAGCCGTGAGGCAGCGCCGTGACGGCCCGCGACGGCATGTTAAAAAGCATTTGTTTCTACTAGCGGCTCGAGGCCCAGAGGGGAGGCTCACGGCTCGGCCGATCGCTGCCATACTCCCTAGTTACTAGTAGCTTCTTGTTCCTAGTAGCGAACCTTGTTACTACTAGTAAGGCACTTGTTACTAGTAGCGATGCACTTGTTCCTAGTAGCTTATTGTTTCTACTCAAATGAAAAGGAGGAGAAAGCAGTTGAGTTCAAGACATGCGAAGCGAAAACCAACGAATTTTGAGCAAATTCGCCAAGTTGAACTCTTAATAGCAGCAAGAGACAATTGAGTCCAACCCCCCCAAGACTTCACCAAGGTTTTTGTCGTCATTTCTTTGCTCGGATTTCAACCACCTTGATCGTCCTTAAAGCCTTGGATTGGTTTGTTTCTTTCATTTCAAACAGTTTGTGAGTCCCACCTTCAAAAATTCTCCATATAGAAGTACCTTTTTGTCGCTTGCAGGTGAGCAAACTGAAAAGTGGCAAGACACGGGCTGTCGGGTGCCAAGTAGCTGGCAGGTTTGCGGTGGGCAGAGGTTGGGCTCTAAACCATCATCAAACTGACTTCGGTCAGTTGGTAAGTGAAATGGACTTCGAAACCGTTTCGAAGAAATCCTTCAAACCAATGAATGTTTGTCTCTCGTACGAAGAAATGGCGGACTCGGTTCCCTAACGACTGATCTCCATCCACGCTTTGAACGGAAAACCCATCGCGTGTATGTGGAATGTCTTAGACCGTCATGAAACAAGATGCCTCTTAAAGAGCTTAAGAAAATTTAAGAAACCTTTCTTTACAGAACACATACTGCCTTTAACTGACTGCCCAAGAGTTGGCTCTTTTGTCTCCTGCTCTCCAGCTGTGAAACCCAGACCGGGTTCCTGGTACCTGCTACCAGCCTTTCGCACGGTCAGGCCGATCGCCAGCCACGGCCCGCGGCGCGGCCCGGGCCGCGGCCCTCACGGCCGCCCGTGCGATACGTGGAGAGACGTGCGCCGAGCAGCTGGAGTTCCTCCTCGGCCCCGGTCGCTAAGCTCAGTCTTCAGTCGAGTCGAAGGAGACTCTCTCGTTGTTCGTTTTTTCAACGGTTCTTTTTTTTGTGCCAAATTAAACAGCTTTCAAGCATCGATATTTTAATTGAACCTTCCAATTTTAGCTGAATGGATCCGAGTCGAACGTTCCATTGGACTTCGTTTCAGAAGTGGCAGACCGAGTCGCAGCCAGGTGGCTGCGCGACTTTTCGGAGTTCTTTGCTTCCTGGGGCCTCTGGTTTGAGGCCCAGATTGCCAGTGGAAAAACCAGGCAGGTCCCATTTTTACGGTCTTTGTCCCTTAGTTTTCCAAACTCTTTTCGAATTCAGAAGTTGACGTTTTGGCGCCACAGCAGGTGCTCAAAACCGACGGTTGAAGCGTTCTTGTTATTTGTGCGGCGCCCTGAGGTCTTGTCCATACCCTATGGCATGCAGCTCTTTGCCAGCTCCTCCTTCTTGCGGGAGATGTTGCTGAAGCCTCTGCTCCCCTTAGTCTTGGCCACGTGGAAGCAAGAATTGAAAAGGGGATGAGGCTTAACGAACATCTTGCTGAGAGATTCACATCGGAATAATATTAACTTTCTGAAGAAAGAGCCTGTCACAAGTGTCTTCTGACCCGCTCCATGCTCCCTTTGTGGATGATTTGACCTACCTGACCGTACCAACACGTGGATTTAAGGGACTTCCAGAGAGGATTTCTGACGCCGGAAACAAAATAGACCCGTCTTCACACCTGACTTTCGTTCGCCAACAAGGCCTTCCACTCATCAAAGTTTGCAAACTTGTTATCCATTGTGGCACTCTATGCCTTGGCCCGGAGCCCCTAAGCGAAAGACGAATGCCGAAATTCTGATCGCTCCGTCCAAAAGCCATCCATCAGCGTTCTGTTCCAAACATCCGGACTGGACACAGAGAAAGTTCTTCCACAGTTTCCATTGGAAGGCAACTCTGCTATAGAATGCTATAGATATTCAGCATGAGATGGCCTCCACCCTATTAGCGATGGCCTTCCAGCCTCCAACCTAATAGCGGCCTCCACCGCTTTTGGAATCGCTTGGATGTGTTGAGCAGACTTCTCTTATCTACTAGGAGCAAGGACGCTACTAGGGGCTCCTGGTCGTACTACTAGGAGCAAGAAGCTACTAGGAGCAAAGGGCATCGCTGCTAGGAGCAGACTTCTCTTATCTTCTCTTCAATAATTGAAGTTGTTTGACACTATCTTTCGAGCGTCTGAGGCCAGAAACAAGCGAGAATCTCAACTGGGCCATGTTTGGAGTGTTCCAGATTGAATGGTGCATAGCAGAGATGGGCCTATCCCAGGAAGAATGGAAGAGGCAAGTCTCCCACTTACACCTTTGAGGTGTTCAATTTTGACTCGACTCAGAGTTTAGGTCTTGGAGTTAACCACGTTGACCTGCTACTTTCAGCAGCCTAAGGCTTTCTTCGTTACCCCGAATTCTACTAGAAAGGGAGAAAGAATTCAGGAACACGGACAATTCTCAACGAAAACAGAGACATCAACGGAAACAAACATGAAACAACAACACATCTTTTACGTCTTGCGAACAGAACGCTACTGCATGCTATTGCAGCTATCATGATCTATTGAATCGATTTAACTTCTTCTGAAATCCATTGGACTTTGGCATCGAATGAGGTCTTTGCATCCCTTCACCCGCACCATCAGCCTGGGTTCCCCAGCGGATTTGCAAGCTCGGAAGAGCATCGGTTTTCCGAAGCGATGCAAAGACCAGCAATGGACTGCATCTAGCCTTTTCAAGGTATGCATCTAGCCTTTTCAAGGTAGACAGGTAAATCTAAGAACACATTAAATATGGACACAATTCGACATAGGCAGTGATATTTTTTGCAAAGACCAGCATCCAGCCTTTTTCAGGCAGACAGGCTTCCACCTTGATGATGGTGCAGTCACACCTGCATGCTTTGGAACAGTGAAGCTGTTGATGCTCTTAGCGGGTGGAGAGTTCAGTCCAAGACCTTTTGACAAATATGGGGATTGTGAAATTTTTGAAGCATGGATAAGATTGAATTTCACTTTGAAGCCGAAACAGGCGTTGAGAGGTTTCATGGTCAGTGTGCTTTCTATCGTATTCTTCGTTCATTTTTGGAACGAAGACACTTTTGTTCTTGAGTGACGAAACTTGACACAACTTTTGCCTGCACTTCCCCTTTGTGGATTCTTGAGAGCCAAAAAATGAAGCTACTAGGAGCGATGCCCTTGTTCCTAGTAGCGTGGCACTTTGCTCCTAGTAGCGTCCAAAATGCCAGGTTCCCTGCCAACTTCATTCTGCAGTTTTTCGGGGCGCTGGGAAGCCAAGTAGATCATCCGATGGGCTGAATGGAAGCCCTTGCAAGACTTGCATTGCAAATGTGATTCCATCAACAGTAATACAACTAGACATATTAAGGCCATATCTCAGGTAGATATAGAGAGAGAGAGAATCGGTTCCTTCTAATTTCGTTAATTCTAAGTAAATTCTAATTAAACTTAATTTCTAATAGCTTCTTGTTACTACTAGTAAGGCACTTGTTACTACTAGCGTGGCACTTGTTACTACTAGTAAGGCACCTGTTCCTAGGAGAACCGGTTCCTTCGACCCGAACGGGTTTCCTTTCTTCGATCTGTGACCCGGGTCGCAGCTGGAGCGGCTGAGGCCCGGACCGATCTCCAACTTGCTGCGTGGAAGTGTCTTTGTGTGCGCCCAGAGAGAACGTTTCAAAAGGTGGGGATGAAAAAGGGTGAACAAGTCATGGCCAACCAGTAAGGCCATTGCTAAGAGCGATGGCCTCCGACCTAAGCTCCAACCTAAGAGAACTCGGAGTTGCCCAGGTACTTCCTCTACTGCGTCTTTTTCGGCGCCCTGGGCTCCTTGAGAGGCGAAACGTCGTCAAGTCGGTCCAGACCCACAGCCAAATCCGAAGGTTCGGAATGACCATGGCTTCTAGCGTAACAAGGAAGCTACTAGTAACAAGTGCCACGCTAGTAGTAACAGGTGCCTTACTAGTAGTAACAAAGAAGCTACTAGTAACAAGGAGCAAATAGTTACTAGTAACAAGTGCCTTACTAGTAGTAACAAGGTTCGCTACTAGGAACAAGTGCATCGCTACTAGTAACAAGGGCATTACTATTAGTAGCAAATAGCTACTAAGTGGCTTCTATAGCTAGTAGTCATGCCCTTGTTACTAGTATGCCAGGAGCGCCCCGTTCGTAGCGATGCACTTGTGTTATTCCGTCCAACACGCTTCATCGGCGGCTCTGCCTTCTTTTTTGGAGAGGAGGCAAGCGAGAACTCCTCACACCCGTCCTTCCGTTCGTTCTCCCAAAGGTTCGTGCTCACTCTCCCTTCGAAAAATTGGCCAGGCCGTGTGGCAGATCTGCCTGCCATTGGTGCTGGGGCGCCCACCTTCCCACGCTCGGGATCCATGCTTGGAGCCTCAGTTGCGAGTAGGTTGGAGCCCTTCGCTATTAGGATGGACTCCCACCGCAGAGAGCAACGGATCTGGGATCCACGCAGATCCTGTCGCAGATCTTGTGCCATGTTGGTGATCTAATGGGCCATATATATGATGCGATCGATGTGATGCTGCTAATGGACTTAGCTCATAGAAGCTGGAGGCCATCGCTAGTAGGTTGGAGGCCATCACTAGTAGTAAGAAAGCTAATGGACTTAGCTCACACTTGCAGCATTGCCTCCCACTCTTGATGTATCTCTGAGGTTCCGTGGTGGACTCCGCGGAGGATTCCGCGGAAGTAACTGATCCAAGTAAGGCTGAGTGACTAGACGAGCTCCCTCCAACGAGACGATTCAGCGAGTTAGTTCTGAGATAGCGTCCGTGCTCAGTGCTCCTAGTAGCGATGCCAGGAGCCCCTAGTAGCTTCTTGTTCCTAGTAGTAAGAATGCTCCTACTTGAGTTTTTTGATTTTCTTTTCACCATTCTCACCTGTTGATTTGCCCAGATGTTTTTTTGAAGGGCAGGAGGGAGGCGATGTCATTCAGCCTGGGCCTGACAACGATCGGCACCTGCGATTCGCCTGCGATGCTGCAGGTGGTTTGCGGATTTTCACTTCTGCGTATGGCTTTAACCAGGTGATGGAGTTCGTGGGTTTGTAGGAAGATAGAAGCACGCAAATATCCTCGCAGTAACCAATCCAAGCAACGACAAGCATCATGAAGCAAGCTTGGCATGTTGACTGCACCTCCATCAGCCCCAAAAAGCCTGTGACCTTGGCACAAGCTGTGAATGAGGGCGATTCATCATTCGTGCGTGGCCAAACTCCGAAAATCGTTGAGGTCACGTGGAGGTCGTCATTTCCTGCTCACGCACGTTTGATGTGAGAAGCGCCTGAGAACAGCCGAGTTGCAAAGGTCAGTCTCATTCATTTTCCAGCTTGGACATACAGACCCGCTGACCAAACTACTTGGTGAAATTTGCTGCTTGAGTTCGCACCCCAGACAGACGAGAGCCAAAATGGATGTGAGGATTGCAAGAAGCGATCCAAACTGAGACGCGAGAGTTTGGAGTCTGGAGTCTGTAACAAGGTGCATTACTGCCAGTAACAAGAAGCTACTAGTAACAAGGGCATCGCCATTAGAAACCAAAAAAGACAAGGAAGAAAGGGTCTAGTATAGTTTGCTATTGGGCAAGAACGCTACTAGTAGCTCCTGGCATTACTAGTAGCAAGGACATTGCCATTGGGTTGGAGGCCATCGCTAGTAGCTAGTAGTAGCTATGGCGGGCACCGTTCGCATCGTGTCTCCAGGAGCAGCGCTCGAAGATTTGGCACATGATCGATACATCCCGCGAGAAGTCACAGGCGGGTGCCGGGGCGTGGAGCAGGCGGCGTGGAGCGTGGGTGCATCTCCCTGGTTTAGATATCAGATGCGTCTCTTTGTTAGTGTAGAAATCATGAGCTTGATTCACATGTTGATAGGTATGTGAGGATATCCTAGAATCATGAGAGATTTCGACACTCAGATGATCGTTTGCCCGGTCATTCAGTTGACCCTTAAGCTTAAGACGCACCTCGTCACGGTGGAGAGAGACCAAGAGCAAGCCGCAAGCCCAAGTTCTTCGAAAAGAACTTCCCAGATTGAAATGAGAAAAATACCACAAAGGTATCACTATTAGGTTGGAGGCCATCGCTCCTGTAGCTCACCCCCATAACTCACAGTTCGTCATAAGCGCTCGGCCTGCCCTTTGGCGTTCGGACGCCAGGTGGCAATTCGAGCCCAAATGGATCAGCTCTCCGAAAGCTTGAAGGCAGTGCAGGACGAAGCAGGAAAAACGAAGAAAGCTGCAGGGGACGAAGACGGCCCGAGACCTTGAAAACACCCATGCAACACATAAGGCTATAGACTGATAGACTCTATAAGTGAATTAAGTCTAATTAAAGGCTAGTAACAAGAAGCTACTAGTAGCAACAGGCATCGCTACGAACGGAGCGATCGAACGCTACGAACGGGGCGCTGCTGGCCTTACTACTAGTAACACGGACGCTACGAACGTAGGTTCTTTAAGATGTTGATTCACTCTGAGGAGTTAGTGGATTGACATCCGGAGTTTTGGATGGGAGCGTAAGACAGTGTGAAGTTGATCGTTTTGTTCAAAAATGCTTTGGATCCGCCACAGCTTGGCTCCGATTTCATCCAATCTATGTTACTTCGGGTCTTGTCTTGTGGTTACGAGCCCCTAGTAGCGTCCTTGCCCCTAGTAGCGATGCCCTTTGCTCCTAGTAGCTTCTTGTTACTAGTAG